AAAAAAAAAAAAAAAAAAAAAAAATATATATATATATATATATAATATATATATATTCCAAGCCATTACCTCCTAATCTTCCAAGCTAACGGAAGGATTATAGCCACTACTTTCTTCAGCCATATGCCACTGCAACCCAAATTCAAAGTTACACACCATGACAACATACTCTGGTGAACCAGGGCCCTCATACCGCGCTGTTGTCCTCTCCCTAAAATACTGCAGGTTGCCTGCTTACCCTCCAAAACAAGCAGGATGAGGACTAGCTATGTACCAAACACTGTTCGTGCCATTCTGCGTGCTCCCAAATGTGATTAGCACAGAAAATGCGAGAAGACCAGACAGCATTTTTCCATATTTAGCCATGTATGTTTAATACCAAGTTGGATTTCACCTCAGTGCATCAATCCGTTAACCAAGGGCGGGTATAGAAAGGAAGACATAGACTGACATCAGCTACTTTTAAGATTCCTCTTCCTCCTCCCCCAACCTCCAGCTTCTATGACACCATGCATTGTGCATTTTATGTGCATTCATGTGTGCAAACAGCAGAGACTTATCTATAAAGATCAGTTATATGGTGAAACTGCAAAGGGAAACTTTCACCCTCGTCCAGCTGGTTGAATAACTGCAGAGGCCAACAGCAGCAAGCCTCTAAATACATCCTCCTCTTCTCCCTCCACCCCCACATCTCTAATCACTTAGGAGGAAGATAGGAAGATTAGCAGAGAGGAAAAAAATAACCAAAGCTGCAGATAACCCTTTAGGACCACAACGTCAGGCTATGAGACATGGAGCAAAAGGTTAATGTAGCTGTATTTTCAGGAATCTCAGGCACAATTGTATTTAAAGGAAAGGGAGGGGTGTGGAGAAGGTGAGGGAGAGAGAAAAAAGGAAATGGTGATGAAGACAAAAATGAATTTGTCTATCTACAGCTGGCTCTTTGATCACCTGGAGTATCCAGGAAAGGCTTACCAGCAGAAATAGGGCAGTTTTATTACCAATACACTGTAATTTTTCTGTATTTTCATTAGCATCATCAGAACAGATTTTTAGTAAGAATACAGCTGCAGAAGTAAAGGTTTATTGAGCTATGCAAAGGAAAAAGGTGGTTACCAAAACAGTGACAGAGAACTACCTTTAGCAACTGATACAGTGAAGGGATTTGAAAAAAAAAATCAAATATAAATAAAAGTCACTTTCACTAGAAGACAATGTCATCTTCATCCATGTCTCTGAACGGTTGCTATGGGGTTGTGAAGAGGAGGGGAAGGAGGGGGGGCTATAATCAATCATCTCAGAAGAGCATTGCTTCTTACAGAGAAAGATCTGGATTTTGACTGTGTCCCTAAGAAAATTGCGGACTGCAGAGCTGCTGCCACGCAGGGCAGTGAAGAAGCAGGCAGAGCAGAGGCAGCAGCTGGGGATGGAAACGCCTATTAAATCCTTTAGACAACAGATGGGCAAAGCTCGGCTGGGTTATAAAAAAAAAAAAAATACACCACAATGCATCATGTTTTATTGTCCTACCATAATGAAAAACACTTAACACCCACATGCCCAAAGAAGCCCCCCTATGGCTGATCTTCCCCTTTCCCTAAATTTTAATCTGGGGTCTCAATCCACTTTTGTGGGGGGCTCCCAACCCAATGAATTTGTCAGATGCCACTGCTTATTGTACCAGTTACTAAAATTAAAAAAAATAAAAAATTAAAAAATTAAAAAAAGGAAGACATTTGGGCTTCTTTTTAAGGGCTTTTCTTCCAATTAATGCTCCCCTGCCCTTGAAGTGAATATGCCATCCAAGCAAGCAACAGTAAGTCCAGATCTTGAACGCATTTAGGGGGATCTAATTATGTCATGTAGGGCAGAAGCACCTGCTCTCCGCTAATTCCCTCCACTCGGTTTCCTCTTTTTAATATTTCTTACCATTGTTCCATTCAGGAAAATCTGCTGGGGGCGAGTTTCATAAACAAGCTTTAAGAAAAATAATTAAATAACCTCCCCTCCCCCCCAATCCCTCCTACAAAAACACAGCATAACCAGAATGAATTCTGCTGATGATCCTCTATTTTTCTTTTATTTCAGACCCTACCCACAAAAACCACCAGCCCATCCATCCATATTTGCTAAATACCCACAGCAGTCAGTGCCACAGACATACTGTACATATTTCCACCCCCCCAACTGCACCTTAAGGACTACACCCTTTTCAATCATGATGTCATGAAATACTGCTGGTGACTCCCCCACTACCACCACCACCACCTCTTCGGTACTACAGGCTGTGAACCTTTCCTTTCAATATAATTTGATTAAAAAGAAAAAGCTCCTAAGTAGGGCAGTGAAGAAATTGATGTGAAAATTCACCACCAGCAGATCATCTTTTTTTTTTTTTTTTCCCTCTGCATGCACTCCGGCTGTCATCAGAACAACACCCATTAGCAGGAGTAATGAACATAAATTTTCTTTTTAAGGAAAAAAAAGGAAGAAACAATTAAAATGAAAACTAAAAATAAAAAAAAAGCAAAAATTCCCTATGAATATTATCTCCACTAAAACAGCAAATGGGAAAACCTGAACCCTCAAATATCCCATCCCCAACATCTCACTGGCTACTAGAGCACCTTCCCCCTAGCGCCGGGGCTGCTGCAAAGGAACCAACCTGTCTGTCCTTTTCCTAGGGTTTTCTCCAAACGATAGGGTCCAACATATTGTGCATGTTGAGCTCCGCTGCCTTCTTTCCCTGTTGATGACATTTCTACCTGGATCTGTAATTCTGCAATGTGTATGTGCTGATGAGCTGGGATTTCTCTCTCTGCAGTTCTTTAAATTCCCACTTTGCAGCTGTGCAAGCAAAGCACTCTTTTTCTTTGCTTTAGTCCACTTGGTTGCAGATTTTTTTTTTTCTTCCTCCTCTTTTCTCTCTCTCTCCCGTGCGTGTTTTCTCGCTGGGTCTGCCTGGGGCGCTGATGGCCGAAGGAGTTATTTTAATGTTCAAGGAGGGGGATCTACGATCCAAGCCCGAGGAGCATGATGCTGGTGATCCGAGCTCCGCACGCCTTGTTCTCTCCGGGAGCTGTTCACGGCAGAGCCAGAGCTAGAGCAGCGGAAGAGCTGGGGCCCGCAGCTGTGACTGACATGAAACACAGCCAATCCCCTCGTCTCCCACCTCCTTCTTCCCGCCTCCTCCCACTACCTTTTCTTTTCCATCAGCAGCAGTTACTGCCTCTGCCTGCTACAGAGCAGCAGCATCAATGGCAACAGCAAACACCTGAGCTTATCAGTCTATTGATAAGGCACAATTAAAGATAGCTTAATGTGTATATCACTTCAGACCTAAGCATACACTTTTTTTTTTTTCCTTCCCTGTGAATTACACTCCACTATGCAGCTATACTGTCAGAGTATTAAAGGCTGAAATTGTGGCAGAAAATAGGAAAGAAGAGCTACTTCTGAAAATGAGCTTGGGAAATTCTCAATCCGTTAAACCTACATCTTTGGTGGGCTCTACCCTTTAAAGAGAGCCTTTGGGGACAGGGGGCCAAGAGAAAAAAAAAACAAAAAAAAAAAGAACAAAAAAAATATCAAGACCAATCCTGTAACCACTAAACTCAAAGACAGACCTGCTTTTGAGTTTGATGGGAGCAAATAAGACTTTGCTTCCTTAGATGAACAGATCAAAAGTGGCACAGCCACGATCTTAACTAGAAACACAGCAGAGAATCCAGGAACTAGAGGCTTGATGGAACTGATTCCCAGATCCTCAAGCCCCATACTAGCAACATAAGAAAACTTTCACTGGTTTTGACCAAGTACTTATGCCTGCGTTAACCTTCAGAGTTTAAGGATTGGATGAAGTAAAAGATTCTTCCAATCTGCTTCAAGTTAGGCACAAGTTTACGTACTTTGTAGATTCAGGACCATACAGCAGTTTCAGCCAGGCTCCAGGGCTATCAAGCTGAAATCATCACCACATACAAGTTCCATTTTTTTACATTCTCTGCTCCACTCCAGACAGAAAACTGGTCAAGATGTTCTTACCAAAATGCAACTGAGACACAACACACAAGTATTCTTTAGTCAGAGAGGGAAGCCTTGACAAGCCTGTAAAAGAGAGTGTAAAGAGAGGGAAAAACTTGAACAGGCCTTATCGTTATCTGTTCCTCGCTGAGAGAGAAGACTATTTCAGATTTGTGTATGTTTTTAAAACAGGGAAATTTACCTTTTTTTAATACCTCTGTTTACAGACAACAGCTACTGATGTAAATTAGAATAAAACTAGAAATTGGCTCTTTAACAAGACCTCTATCACTGACAACACAACTCTATCCAACAGGTTGCAGAGGAGTTAACAAGATGAGGAGGTGGGAGGAAACCAGGTCTGTGGACAGAAACCTTAAACCCATTCAAAGATATCCTTCTGTCTCCTCAGGAAGCAATAACACAACGCTTGCTTTGACCTTCCCCTGCTTTGCTCTTTATGGTTTATCTTCACTCACTTGAGACTGTGCTGCTGCAGCAACCTGCCAGCAAACTCCAAAACACCCCAACCCATCTCCATTCCACTGCTTTCCCCTCCAAACCTCAACCCCGTGTGACCACCCATTCAGCCTCCTTCTCTGACTTTTCCCAGCCGCAACCTCTGCCCCCACAGGTGTTCGCCTTCCTCCCCTACTAAACTAAACTGCCATTTCTCCAAGCTTCCTCCCCCAAACCTTTCATTAAGCACTGCTCTCCCCCCACCTTACCGCAAGCCCGACAGCTGCTCCTCTTTCACCCCTCTCCCCTCAGAGCCCCGGTGCGTCACTTCACACCCCTGAGCCTGCAGTCCCTCACCGAGGGGAGAGAAAAGGCAGGTGGGAATAATGATGCCAACAACTGGGGTGGCACTGCCCCACGGCCCCCCCACTCCCCTCCGCCCTGCAGCCCCCAGCGGAGCCACGGGACTGGAGTGGGAGAGGAGAGAGGAGGCAGCGGCCCCACTGGCAACCACGGTGACATGGCGGCGGTGCTCTTCCTGCCCAAAGTGCTGAGCGAGGGGTCTGGGCCGGCGGGGAGAAGACTGTGGGTGCCCCTGTGGAGAGGTGCAGGGTTTGCTGGCAGGGCCGGCAGATAAACGGTTGCCCGGCAGGCCTGGGAGACCTGCCCCACGGCCGAGGGGGAGGCAGTGCCTGCCCGTGCGGACCTGTGCCAGGCATGCGGCGGGACTCGGACCTGGCAGGCCCAGGGCATTTCGCTGGAGATGATGTTGTCTGCATGTAGATAAACCGTATCTGCATCGTGATATTAATAGAAAGCTGAGCAATTGGACAATATCGTCCGTCCAAGACCCAACTTGTGCATTTTACACTTTGCTTCAGTTGGGCATTGGGGAAAATGCGTCACGGAGCCACGGATGTCACAAATCCCCACCTTCCGCCACAAAATATGCGTAAGTGTTGCAGCTGGAGTAAGATCGAAAAACTTGGTGAAGTTCATTATGATCCTGATTGGAAGATTGGAAGCTGGTTAAAAAAACCACCAAAACCAGCACCAACAACAGAACAAACAAAAACCAAACCACAAAAAGCATGCACACACACAAAAAACTTCACCCCACACCTCCTTGGTCTCATTTAGTTACTTGTAATTTTGTTTCCATAGGAATATTCTTCTGTATGGCCTATTGCCACAATTTTGACCTTTTGTCCTAAACTCTTCTTGAAAAAACGTTTGGACATTTCTTGATTCCTGAATAATCAAATGCTGTTTATTTTATTTGTTCTTATAAAGCAAAATCCCATTTATCTGTACCCCTTTGATCTGAAACTCACTCCTTTGAATCTAGGTTATGTCCCCCTGGTGTGAATTACTTATACAATAACTCAATTATTTGAAGCCCTGTTTATCCAAATGTTTTGATGTTCCAAAAGTATTTTGAATAAACAGGGCTCTGCTGTCATTGGATATATCAGCTATCTTTGGGGATGCATATAGGATGATTTCCCCTGACCTTATTCTGTATCATCTTGTGCTTAAATGAACAGGCAGTGCAAACTTAAGTGTATAGTTATTGTATTGGCACCATCTTCAGTAGTTTTACTTCTTTCTCCATTGTTTTTCTCTCATTGTTCTCATTAATGGACTGAATTGCAGAAATTTCACTCAGGAAGGACTCAACACCGATGCCAGCAAAAGTTTGCTTAAGTAAGGAGTGAGTAAAAAAAAGTAATGATCTAGAATTTTGCTCAGTTTTATCATATTTCTGAAACAAAGCAGAGCAAAATTATTTGCATTTTTTTGGCATTTTACACCATCTCCTATTGACAGTAGCTTGTGTCTAATGAAAGTCTTTGTGTTCATTTGTTTTCTTAGATGCTTGCCATTTCCTTACTTCTTATTCCCATGGGAATCTTAAGGGTCAAGATGGATCATGAAATGATCCAAGAAGCTAGAGGAAAAACCAGGTCCGTGAGGACATTTTATTCAATATTTTTCACTTGTTCAGTTGAATGTATTTGTGGAGTTAATAATAATTTTAAAAAAAAAAAAAAAAAAAACCAATAAACGTGTAATTAGCATAGAATGAATCAATAGTGTCCTCATGGTAAGAAAAATTCACATAAACTAGGAGTTTCTCTCCAATTAGAATAACCCAATAGCTAATACCAATGATAAGGATGTATTAAAGATAAACAGGACAAAAATCCTCAGCATTTGCAATGTCAGGATCCATTGTCACATGCTGAATTACATGTTCCATCCACATACCTATGGACACATGACACCCCTTTGACAGGTCATACTAGGAATAAAATATTTGGGGAATTAGCCTCATTGTATAGATACTCTATAATAAACCGAGTCAGGTATCTGAGGGACATTTAGGCATCAATACTGATAATGCCTATATTGAGGGTAATTATATCAATCTGCAACATCTCCAAACAGATGCGAACAGTCTAAAATTGAGAATTTGTCCCCCTTGCATTAGATATCTACCATCTTCCTAAGAAGCCAAGGTAGGGGAAAGGGAAAGGGAAAGGGAAAGGGAAAGGGAAAGGGAAAGGGAAAGGGAAAGGGAAAGGGAGAGAACACTCTCAGATTTCAGATACATTTTCTACTAGCTGGAAAATACTGATGAACTTGAGCTAGTCAACAGTGGTTAATGGAAGACAGTGCTTCCACAAAGACTCCCACATTAGCAGTTCCTAAACTGGTCCACATCACTCAGCAGAGGTATGCCATGACAGTATTTAGATAGACACTGGAGATTTTTCTGTTGTTGTTGTTGTTGTTGCTATTATTATTAATAATTATTTAGCTATTATTATTAGGATTCCTGGCATTCTATATATTCTAGTACCTCATTTTTAAAGTTCATCCAGAAAAAATAACCGTTAGCTAGTCATCTACATATCATCTTTGTTTCAAGCTGGATTAAAGTAAAAGTTTGTGAGATGTTTAATTACAAAATAGACAACTGCTTTCACAGTATTACTTCCTCTAGACTGTGGACTCTTTTCTCAAGCCTGCTGCTGTCATTACTTGTGCCTCACAGAACTATTAAATTATTAAGAAACAAAAAGCTCCTTCCAGTTTACTAAGGCAATGTGAAAACCTCTGTGTGAAGTTCTTTTCATACACTGAGCTTTGTATTTCATAAAAATATGAATACTCTATACAGACACATTCATAGGTTCAGTGTGTGAAGCTTTTGGCTGTGTCTTGATGGAAACCCAACTTGAAAGCAGGCACTTCAGGGTGAGGATGGGTCTGTGGTATCTGACCTGTCTTTGAGGTACAAGAGACCAAAAGGATGTCTGTCTTGGGCTGTCAGATCAACTGCCCACCTACCCTAATGCTGTGTCTCCAGCGGTGCCTGTAAACACAAGCTCAGGGAAGAATAAGTCCAGGGCAAGTGTATGTGATCCTTCTCTGCAGTATTCTCTCAGGATCCAATTGTTTTCAGCTCAGGAACTTTCTGAGCCAGATGTTGTTTCTGTATATGCCATAGTCCTCAACAGATTTCTTTTTCTGTGAGCTTGTTTTGTCTTCCTTTAAAAATTTGACACCATGACAGATGGCCAGCTATCTCTTCAGATTACGTGCATACTTCTCAGAAGACAGT